TTCCCTACATTCGATGCTTCTGACTATTCCGAAGGCTCCACAGAGGTCGACCAAATGGGCAAAGGAGGGTGGGAGAGTCCGGAGCCTGTGCTCGCTCTGCCTCCTACTAGCAGCGTGGTTTTGGGCAAAGACCTGACCTCTGGAACTTCGTCAGCATTTATAAAGTGGGAGAGGGTCAGCCAATGGTCTGGTGCTTGAGGCTGGTGGATCCCACGTGGTTCAAATCCCAGCGTGTTTTCCTTTTTTTTTTGGAGAGGTGTTTGCTATAGGGTACCTGTGCTCGCCAGAAAGATAGAGAGAGACAGAGAGACAGAAAGTGAGAAATCCCCCCCAGGGGGATGGTCACGCCGCAATCCCTTCTCCTCCATTCTCCTCTCGGGATCTTGGGCACGCACGCACATGCGCCTGGCCTGAGTTTAAACCACCAGGTCCGGGACACGAACTGGGGTTGACTACATGGGAGTCCAGCAACATAGCCGTTACACCAACTGCTGGCCCTCCCAGCGTGTTTTTTAGCACAGCACCGCCATGAGGGTGCTTTCTGACTCCCTCTCTGTCTCCATGTCTCTGGCCAGTGCACGTACCCTGTAGCAAGTCACAGAAAGACCGACAGTACCCTCGGCCTCACAGAGCTGTGGTGAGCACCAAATGAGGCAGCTACGCAAACATGGTCTCTCCCAACATTCTTATAACACGGACGACCTGTGCACACAGATCAGCACAGCCCAACACCACGTCTTCACCTTCCCTAACCCTGATATAAAACGAGGTGCTGCATGGCCAAGCGCGTCACGCAGACCTACCTAGTCTTCATAGCCAACGAGCTGGCGCTCCCATGGCAGCCTCTGGGCATGCACGAAGCACTTTGTGAGCGTGGGGGCTGAGGAGGACTCTGCTTGTGTGTGTGGGGTGCAGCCTGGAGCTTTGGGGAGTCCAGTTCATGGTCCTTGGGACCCACCGGCCCCAAGTGCAACCTGACCTGTGCAGTGCCTGCTCTCACCCCCCACACGCCCCAACCTTCCCGGCACTTGTGGACAGGCAGGAGACGACCCGCCAGCCTTCAGCCTCTGTCCTTTCACTGTATGGAGCCTTCGACTGCAGGGCTGGAGGAAAAATGGGGGTCCCACACACTCACAGGCTGCGGTGGATGTGCGCGAACCCGAAGTTTGCCTGGCTGTGTTCCGCATGTCAGTGCATGCCCAGGACTTGGGAGCTGAGCAACTGTGACTGTGTGGCTCGGGAAAACCCACCTGGCGTCCCACTCCAGCTCACAGCGCAAGCCCAGGAAACCGGCTGTTCCCAGCATGACTCCCAGCCCCAGGGCACCCTGAAGCATTGGGGTGCATGAGCTCAGAAAAGCTGGCACCCAGGAGCCCTGGCCAGGAGCGCACTAGCTGATCCTGTCCCCACACCGTGGGCCTCACGCCTGCTCCCAGGCAATAGTGCGCATCCGGACAAACCGCTAACCTCTGCTCCCTCACCAATCCCAAACTACTCGCTTTGCCTTTGAGTTAGACCTGGGCACGTCTCCCTATTCTTACTCCGGTGCCCCGACAGCTGTCAGCTGCTGGGGACCTTACTTCCCCTCCAGGGCTGTTAGCGGCTCTCTGTGGCTCGTTCAGGAGGGATGAGGTGTCTCGGAGGAAGCTCGGCAGTGATAATGCGTTTCCCGTCCTGGACTGGAGGGCAGCGGCCTCCCTGCTATTACTCCGGGTGCATTCCTTGAACCTCACGGCAGCATCCTGCTCAGCCCAGCAGCGCGGAGGACAGCAGCGCGTGTGGAACACCCTGAGTGACCGAGGCTCGGCTGAATCTCCCAGCACCATCTGCAGGCTGGTGGGATCATCTTTCTTCTGACCCTCAGGAGAAGGCCCCCTATGCGGAAGGGCAGAGGCCAGTGTTGGACAGGTACTCACCACCTTTCTTCGTGGCCTGGAAGGTTTGGGGGAAGCTGGACGAGTGGGACAGCAGGGTTAGGTTGCACTGAGGGCCGAGTGGTTCCCAAGGGACAGGAATAGAAACCCCCAGAGCTCCAGGGCTCCTTGCTCAGAGCACGAGGGTCTCCTCGAAGTCCATTAGCCCCCCTGCAAGTGGACTTTGAGTCCTCTGTGGGAGTCGCCTGTGAGGCCTGGGTGCTCGGAGTTCCCATCTCGGGAGTAAGGGGGCAGGTACAGAGGGTTCCCACCTCGTGTGGCGTTTAAGTGCCTGTGCCAGGAATTTGCTGAGGGGGAGCACACGGGAGGCCCAGGCAGGATGGAGGGTGCCTCCAGCGGGGAGATCTGTGGAGTCAGGAAAGGGCAGGAGAAGGGAGAGTGTCCAGGCCCAGCTCGGAAGGCAGGGGCAGAGCTGAAGTTTCAGGCCCTCAGGGCTGGGTATTTACGAACACTGGCCATGTGTGCCATGATCTGGGAAAACGCAGACACCCAGAGCTGGGGGCCCAGGCTTGAGCCTGCATGAGAGCGGGCTTCCAGCCAGGGCTTTTGGGATCCAGCCTTCTGTGTTCAAAGGCGGTGATGCACCATTGCCCAGACAGCTGGCCCTGGGCTGCTCAGACTTTGATGCAGCGGGCGGGCTGGGAGACGCCCTGCGGCAGACAGGTTTCCAGGCTTTAGGAGCCCAGCCACTCCTCGCTCGAGCCTGCTGTCCGCTTATTCATCTGTCCACAGGGTGGATTGTGGCGACTCCCTCTCTGCCACTAATTTTGGGTGAGCTTTCTCAAAGAACACAGTTAGTTGTCTCCTCCTTGGGGGCCGCTTGTGCTAATAGCTGGATGTGCACGACAAAGACAGGCCCAGCTCAAGCCGAAGCCGCCCGGAGCAGTCCGTGGGGTTCCTGGGTTCCATTTCCTCTTCTGGCTCTGCAGACGAAGGCCCCGTACCATCTACCGGCAGAGGCGGAAGCTTTTGGGGTGGTTCCTGCCTTGCCACATTTGGGCATACAGGTTTGGGGTGGGCAGGGACAGCAACAATTTCATGTTGAGTTACACTCAGAGTTACCCTCAGGTGGACCTGGGCATGGGCTGGGGTTAAAGGTAACTTTCTAGTCCTGCAGCTAGAAAAGGTCACCAGTGCAGGGCCTGGGACAGGGCTCTCAGAATTTAGCGGCCTGTGCTTGTGTGCCCAGAATGGCCATTCACCACACTGGTTTTCGCACTGCTCAGAATCCAGTGGCAGGTTTGAGAGGATAGCCTGGGTTGGGA